ATCATTATTAAAATATTTTTTTTCTTACAAATAAATTAAAAAAAATAAAAATAAAAAATGCATGTCAAATGGATCGAGTTTTTAGGGAGTCTTATCTTGTAAGAAAAAAAGAGGACACTAATATGAACAATAACTAAACCAAAGAAATCTCATAGTCCAACGCAAGATAAGAAATCCGAATTGATTCTAAAAAGCTGCTTTACTTTTTAAATGGACGGTCTATAGAATTTTTCAACACTAAACGGCGCTGTTAATAACCTTATTGTTGTCGCATTTCGTCCATGTCAGTTTCGTTTTGTGTGTACAGAAACCCATGTCGGTGTCGTTTCGTGTCTAGTACTGACACCCGACTGGTAGGCATTTATTTTCAGCCTGTTCGTGGGTGGTTGGCGGGTGCTCTGGTGTGGTTTGCTCCTTCTTTCCAATCAAACATCTATCATCTTTATCTCCCCTTCTTCTTTTTGTGTTTGTTACTCCCTTGTAACATCTCTAATCTGCGGCACTTATACGACCTTATTGTGTTGCTAGTGCCGTAAAACTCTTAAGAAGAAAACCCACCCAACAAAACAGCCTGTTCTTGTACATGCCGACATATCGAATGAATGATTGATCGGTTTTTCCCCTTGTAAGTACTGGCAGTTCCCAATGGGTTACATTGTGGTCAGCTTCTTGGCGGATGCCTTTCTCTTCGTGGGATTTTCCCCGACACTCCCTGAACAATGTCTGCCAATTAGAGGTGGGCAAAATCCGGATAAATATCCAGATAATCGGATAATTCTCAATGAAACATTATCCGAATTCAGACTCTTAAACTCTCTTTCCTAACCCGTTTGCCGAAGTGAAATGATTCTTATCCGTTTGTCGAAGTGGTTCTAACCCATTTGCCGAATCGGTTTATTACATATTATTTACCGAAAAGGTGCACTAACATATTATCCGGATTTTGCTAAAGCGACTCATTGCCCAGCCCTACTGCCAGTGGTGAAAAGACGGGAGTGGAGTGGATTTCGAAGCAGGTGAAAACCATGTAGGGATAAAACTGATGATGCCCAAACCATAGTTCTTTTCTTCAGTAAATCCTCACTCTGCAGTACAATGATGACTAAAAAGTTTAAATCTATCTAAAATAACCGCGAATTGAATATTGATATTTGAATAGTAGAACACCCAAACTCATAAACATTCTTTCAGTGTACATAATATTATGAAAGATACGGGCAGTCTTTGGATCTAACTGTTCTGTTAGTATGAAAAAATATGACATTGACCCCCCCCCTCTAATTCCTCCCCAATGCTAATGCTGCAACAAGCCTCTAGCTGTCGCCCACGTCACCCAAGCCCAGGCCTGGAGTCAAACCGGCACGAAAAGTGATGCAGCAGAAGGCAGGACGTTCTCTGCGTCTTCCCGGGGAAACCCGAGAGGTGGTTAGTGTCCGCGGCTGAGGGACAATATTTTCTTAAGCTTTGGACGCCAGGATTGTCCTAGGCCAGGGATGTGTCGCTTTTGGCGGGAGTGAATACAGGGAGGGAGTGGGGTCACTGACAGCT